CTCTCTCTCTCTCTCTCTCTCTCTCTCTCTCTCTCTCTCTCTCTCTGTCTCTCTCTCTGTCTCTCTCTCTCTTTCTCTCTGCTATGATGCTCTTGTTTCAATGACAGTACTTATCCTAAATTGAATAATTCCCTCATTTCTTTCTCCTCTTAAACCTTAAGCAATGTAAATTAGATATTACTCCCAAACAACCCAGACCTAATGTATGAGGACTTGCTCCAAAATGCTATAAAATGGGAGAAACAGAGGCAGACAGATCTGGGATTTCAGAGAGTGCAGCTTATAGGGGGATTGTAAGTTTAGCTCCAGGTAGTAGAAAGGACAATTTGTTCCTTGCAATTGGAATCTGAAAGTGGGAACACGTATGGGTTACGATAGAAGTGATTTCATTTTAGCTGTCATATCTCTAGTTTGTCTTAAACTAACATCAGCGAATTGGGATATTTCTGCAGACAGGCCCTGGTTATAAAAACTCCACATACCAGTGCAATGAAAATAAAAAATGAGTGTATAAATTTACCCATTTATATGAATAAGCTGTGCTAAGTAATTGTGCCTCAGGAGCTCCATTTATTTAATTATGGTTTGCTGGAAAACTATGCAGAAATAAATGATTAGGTTGTTCTGGGACAACCATGCAGTTATAAATCAAGATGGCTATAGGAATATCCATGCAGATACTGTTTATTAATCCATTTCAGAAAGAAAAGTAAGCAATTTTTTTTTTTAATTCAACACAGGAAACTTGCAGAAAGTAGTTGGGGCAAGAAGCTGAAGGTCAGGTGGCTGGTAATTTTTGTCCCATTTCCATCAAAGTTTTAGTGTTTCAAGGTTATTAAGCAGTCAGGTCTGGGTTAGTTTTAACATGCAATCCCGAACTTTTGGATCTCTGGGGTCAGCACAGACAGCTCTACCTCGAGCGGTGATACAGCTGGAAGATGAGCAGGAGAGTGATTAGGAAGTGAAGAGTCATAGCAATGGCGATGAGGAGCCCCATCCTCTCAGCCCCTCAGGTTCTCCAATCAAGACAGCCTGCTCTTTCTACTCTCTATAGGATGCAGTTAGGGCCAGGCTCCTCCCAGAGACCCTTTCTCAGCCCAGGGCACTCCCTAGTGACTCTTGGGCATGTCCTTGGGCAGCTTGCTGCCTGCTTTCTCTTTCCTTGCTCCTCTTCCTTCTTCTTCACTAGAAATGTGTCATTTCTGGTTCCCTGAGGGTTTCTAGTAAGGACACCAGCATTCCCCTACCCTACCGTGGCAGAATCCAAAAGTGGAACTTTAGGGCCACCTGTACATCAGTTTCTTCCATCAAGAGCCTGTAGTAGTTTAACTGCAACCCACAATGGGTGAGTTTGGTACTTACATGACTGCTCGCCTGAAGCACTCACTGCTTGTCTCAAAACAGTGTATCATGAGGTTACACAGGAACCATGGAGTGTAGGAGAAGCAGCAGTCAGCAGGATGGTGAAGGGCTGCATGGTGAAAGCCAGCTGGTAGAGAAAGGGCCATTTGTGAGTCCAAGGCTGTTCCCTTAAGAATTCAGTGCTGGGTACTGTGAAAGGTACCATGGAGAGGGCCACTGAAAGGATGCTTGCCCCCCCCTCCCCAAACAGCATTGGCTGCCATGTGCCTGCCTGAGACCCTTGCCAGATGTACTGAGGACTCCAGGATGGGCTCCAGCAGTGCCAGAGGCCCTTCTAGAAAAGAATAAGACATCTGTATCTACCTGCAGGCAGTGGAAAGCATCCTAAGTTCCATGAGGCTGACTCAGGTCAGCCAGGTGGGAATAGACAACTTATCTTTGGAAGAGGTATCAGTCTCCTCTTCTGATCTTCCCTGAACATTCAAATACCCTTAGAATGCTTTTGTTCTCCCCTTAACAGAAGGGAAGATGAATCCTTGGGACTGATCTGTGCCACTTACTGTATTTAAGTATATGTCGGGCTGGGGAGATGGCTCAGTAGAATATGCACTTCCCTGGCAAGCACAAGGGCCTGAGTTCAATCCCTGGTTCCACAAACAACAACAACAACAACAACAACAACAACAACAACAAAAACCCAAAAAACAAAACAAAACAAAAAAAAACCACTGTCTCAGAAAGATAAAATAATAATACTTTAAAGCCAACATTTTATCCCTAGCCTTCCAAGGTCAATTAAGACTCAACACATGAGAACTTGTACTGTAACGTCATGTAACTTGGTAGTGTTCCAAATTTTCTGATCAAGGAGATTATGGGGCCAAAGAGGAAAGTGATCAATGATGTAGAGTGTGCCTAAGGAGAGTCACATGGAGAGAAAACATTCTCTCAGGCTTTCACAGACAGCACATTAGCCAAGCAATGGCCGTGACTCATCCACATAGGCTGACACTGACAAACAATCTGAGGTACAGGATCTCAGGATAAATCCTGAGGGGATTTCTCTGACCTTCTCAGACCCAAATGCTACAACTCTTGCTGTATAGGTCCTGCTTTTCCTTGGTCTTAACCACCCAGAAGAAAAGTATAAAAACAAAGTCGAAGAAGTAAAGCCATGCTGTTATGTTGAGCTGTAGGGGACTCATGTCAGCAATTTCTGACATTGCCAGTCAAACAGAAGACCCAATACTATTATGGACTACTGAACTCTTTTAGAATATTTTGATGAGTTAACACACCTATAATATTCAAATAACGGAACTAAACAAAAAAAGGGTATACAGATGAATGTCCATTTTGTATCTGTGTATTCAAAGTGGTTAGGATAGATTTTTGTTACATTCTCTTAATGAATAGAGTGATTTGTTCTAATGGTGCTTGTAGATAGGATATCATGTCTGCATCTTGTACAGCAATTAACCACTGGGAGGAATGTATGCAATGTGTTAATTATTGAAACTGTCCTACCAATTTGGTTTGAAACTGTCTCATTGCTATTTGTTTATCAATAAAATTATGGAAAAAAATGGTTATACCAAAAAAATAAAAATAAAAAATGAAATGAATACACACTTCTTAGAAGTACAATTAACTAATAAATATATTGAAAAATACAAAAAATGCTCAAAACTCTTCATTCTAAAATTCAAGTAGCTTCAAAGATTTTGCATAAGTTACAGAGCTACATTGTGATAATTACGCAAATGCAATTAAACCCTTTCCCATCCCTTCCTCCCTTCTTTTTGTCCCTTCCTTCCTTCTTGTTTCCTTGCTACCTTCCCTCCTTCCTTTTTGCCAATTTTCTAACTTAAATTTAATTTCCATAATTTACTGTATGATGGCATAAAGCAGCAAAAAGGAATGACATTATCATTTAGATTACTATTTACATCTCCTATGAAGCATAACTAATAAACTTGGCAATAAGAATTCAGCTGCCAACTTTGCCCAGTAATTGCTTTCCATTGTTTGTAGCTCATTTTCTCTATACAGTGAGCTCTTCAGATCTGGAGGTTCCACATCTGTGCAGTGAGCTAGCTGTGACTTCAAAATATTGTTTAAAAAATTATATCAGTACTGAACAGCTAAAAACTTCTTTTAATTCTTTCCATTATTTTTATCATGGATATCAGGGATGGAAACCAGGGCCTTTACACTGAGCTATATTTTCAGTCTGTTTTCTGTGTTTTATTTTTGAGGCAGTATTTTGCTAAATTGCCTAGTCTTGATTGAGACTTGTGATTCTCTTGCCTAAGTGTCCCGAAGTCCTGGGATTATAGGAATGCATCACGAAGATCAGCTTCGCTATCTTTCATTTTTATTTTTTATTTTTTGGCGGAACCGGGGATTGAACTCAGGCCCTTGCGCTTGCCAGGGAAGCATTTAATCCACTGGGCCATCTCCCCGGCCCCTTGCTATCATTTTAAACATTACAGCCTAACAACTATTTACTAGAACCATCTTGTTTTATGTATTACAAGTGGTCTGGAGATTATTTAAAGTACAGGGACTGATGCAAACCATGGAAGGATGTAGCAACTGTATGAGGACCAGACATTTGTCATCTGTATGAGGACCAGACATCATTCTCCATGGACATCAAGGGATGCTGTATGCCCATGTGAATTCCATTTACTGAGGCATGTCCATTGTAAGACGCTTGATATGACCTGGGTTGGCTTACACAAAGAAAAAACACCTTAAATGCTTTTGTCTTTCCATAACTATGTCCAAAGTGTCTCGTATCCTAATTCCACTGCTTAGTAGTTATGTGATCATAAGTTATCTCATGTTTCTAGACCTCTTTTATTCACTTATAAAACTAAAATACTGTTCAAAACAATGAAAGTACTGGTGTCCCACTGTTGTCCCCCTACAAATAGGGCTAATTCAAGTTCTCTACATATCTCTGTACAGGGTTGTTAGGAGGGATACATATGTTGGCATTTCTACAACATCTGCAGCAGTGGCTGCCTTATGTACAGGAAATATTAGATATGTATTTGTTAAATGAAGAATAGAATGGTTTGGTGATTTGGGGCAAGTCATTTCCTTGGGTTGTCTTACTACTTCCTTTCAAGAACGACAGATTTATGATTGACTGTGTACCAGTGTTCTAGCATTATAGAATTCTATGCTTCTCAAGTATTTAAAATTGTACTAAAGAATAATTTGATCTAGCACTTGATAGTTGTATGTAAGCAAAAGGAATATATCAAATATTTCTGATGATGAAAAATAAGGTAATTATTTCCTCAAGTGAGATCAACATCCATGCACAGTTTTCCCCCAGAGAGCAAAGGCTAGTGAGGGAGGCAGGTGTATACCCTGCTGTTGCTTTCAAGCAAGTTTCATAGCCACGTCTGGGATGGAGAGTAGCTGTGGGGTACAGTGGTGCCCCTCTGCATCTCCTCCTTTCACAGCACTGCTGTGGCCCTGGCCACCAGTGAGAAGGCTCATTTGACTCACCATCTACGTCGTCATCCAGGGCTTCAAGGGCAGCAGCCATGATGAGGAAGGCGAGGGCAGCCGTGGACATCATGATCCTCATGGTGGGCATGCAGAGCTGGCCTGAGGGCTCTTGGGCTCCCTGCTCCTTGCCTTCCTGGCCAGCCTTCATATTTATAAGGTGAAGTTCAGGAAGTCAGAGCAGAGGTCAAAATGCTGTTCTTTGCTACATCCTAGTCAGCCCACAATTTCTAAAAGAAGGAACAAGGCTGAGCACACAACAGAAAGTTGAGGGCCAAGCCTGCAATAGGAAGTGAGTGCAGAGGTGACTTGGACTGTCTTGTCTAAATGTCCTGAAGTTCTCAGATTATAGGAATGCATCACCAAGATCCACTTTGCTATCTTTTTAAACATTAAAGCATAACCACTATGTACTAGAATTATCTTGTCTTATGTATTGCAAGTACTCTAGAGATTATTTCAAGTACAGGGAGTGATGTAAACCATAGAAGGATGTGAGCACCTATAGCTTTTGTTATCTATATAGTGTTTCCTAACTGTTCTCATGGGTACTGGGAAAGAGTAAATATTTTAAGACGGGTCCTTTCTGATAGGATATTGATTGATCTTCTAAATTGGAGGAGTCCTAACCAACCCCGAGGATTACATGACCATGCAGTTCTTCATAGCCTATAAATGCGGGATCCATCAGAGAGAACAGTTACTTGTAAGCTTGGTCATGTGATTGTCCTCTGCATCTGGACATAGGTTGGACTCTTTCTTTGTCTCCCACACCATATCTAACTCCTTAGTAAGTACTTTTGGCTCTACCTTCAAAAATGCACCAACTCTTCCTCGTTGAAAGAAAAACCTCAGTTTCGTCTCCATTTTGTCACTCTCAGTATTTCCCTTCTGACACCATCTACTTGGGGTTAGCAGGGACCCCACCACCCTTTAGTCTCTGAGTCTTTCTCCATGTCAGATTTCAATCCTAAGTCGTGGGTTCTCCAGTTTCCCACAACTTGTGTCTGAATTGACTACAGATCTCAGGATTCCATGACCCTCAGTTCAGATGTGATGTTTTGCTAGAACAGCTCATAGAATTCAGGAAAACATTTTACTTCTTATAGTCTGAGTTTATTAGAAGGACTGTAAATCAGACACACCCAGAAGAAGAAGTGTTGTGATCAGTCCCAACTTCAAAATTACAAAAGTTAAAAAGACTTCATTTGGGGCCTTAGCTCCTTTGGGATTTGTCCTTGAGTGACTTTGGCTTCCCCTGCCTTTAACCTTCTGAAAGGTGGCTTCCCCTGCTATAGTTTGTGTCTTGTGATCCCTCTAAGGCCTCATGCAGTTAGTTATTGGGGTGAGCTTCTACAGTTTGCGATTAATTCATTATCCAATGCAGAGATCATGGGTGTGAGTGCTACACCTACCCTGGGGTGCGTAATCTTCATACAATGTGGTGAAGGGAGACATCCTTGCTCTCTTCCTCTGCTGCTACTGTTGCCCCTGCTGCTCCCTTTTTGCTTTTGTTCTTGCTGTTTTCTGTTGTAATGAGCTGCTGCCACTGCCATGTGCAACCGTGCCTTGGAGCCAATCAAGTATAGACTGAAACCA